TAATATGGACTGGGAAGTGAACGGAATGTTTTGAAACTAACAATGTTCACATACTACATATTTAAAAATATTAAGAAAAGGTGCTTTTCATGATACAGACCCTTTAAGGGGCTAAACAAAGTAAGCAGAGGCCTGGTTTTGCTGTGACTGTGTATCATCAGGTGAAAGTGTATGTGTGTGTGTGTGTGTGTGTATCTGTGCGTGGCTGGTGGGAGTCTTGCTCTGCAGGGTTCATGTCCTGAGGGACTCACTGAGAGGAGGATGTAATGTATGAGAGTGTACTCAGCCCAGATCAGCCTCAGAGAGCCACCCCCCACACACACAAATGCACGCAGACATCCTGTGCTGAGGATAACACTGATCCCAGACATCCCACAGTTCACGCAGCGCACACCATATGTACATTCCTATACAGCACAGTTCAGTAATGCGCAACAGAGTCAAACAAGCTCATTTCAGCTAATTCATTTTTAATGACTGGAAAAGTTCTCATCCCTAAATCACAGAGAGCAATGAATAATACTATTAGTCAGTCTTAGTACAGCTCTGCCATCTAACATTTGGAAACGCATGATGGGAAATCTAAAGAAATGGTTCAGCAAAAAATCTAATTTGCACAATTTTCAATGTACCTCGATGCAGTCAATCGTCAAGACCTGTTTGGTGTGCAAATTTTGTTTCTTCAGTTCAGCTCTGGACCTGCGAGTCTAATGTTGCTAATAAACACTAAGTAAATAGTCTAAACCACATCAACAAGTCTGTACAACCTTAATAAAGAGCTGGATGCAGTCTGAATGGGCTGTGAGATGTTTTCAGAATGTATTCACAGAAAAGATTTGGGTGACTATTGACTTCGTGTTAGTTACGGGTGTTAGCCTCGTAGCTCCAGCTTAAAATTAAAGAAGCAAAATGTGGACAAGAAAGAAGTCACAAATTGTTGAAATTGTTGTTTCTGGGGTACTACAACTCCAGAAACTACAACACTTGCTGTACGTGTTTGATACTCTACATGACAGTGAAGGTGAACTGATAGGCATCATCGCAGCTTGTGACATTTAAGCTATCGTTGGTTTCCGTGGCGATGACGGAGGTGATTTCCTGTTGAAAGGCCAGTGAGGTCTTCACTTTCCCTGCTCTCTCCCCTCCCTGACTCCACTCCATCAATCCTGCCTTGTTTGTGTTTAACCTTTAGCGAGATGTGAAGGGAGGGGCGAAGCTGCCCTTTCGTTGTGATGTGAATTATTGAGAGGCCTAAATTTTTAATGCTCTCGTCTCCGACGCAGTCTGCCATTTAGAGGATCCCTCATCCATCAAACCACACAGACTGCTGCCAGGGTGGGCAGGGCGGGTAAGGAGGACAGGTGGGGTGCCCAGCAGAGTGCTGTGTGGGAGTGCAGTGTGGCACGGACAGCCTGGTAAAGCCTCATTAACACTCCACAGCAGAGTGCCAAACAGTGCCATCCGTGCTTTTCCCCACTGACTCCATACAGCTGTTATTGTCTTTTGTTGTCATTGTCTTTTGCCGTACACTGTACATTTACTTTTATGGACCATTCTACCAAATTAGTTAAAAAAAAATAATTAAGAAAGCAATTAAGCATTCAGACCTTAGATATTTACAAGGATTATCCTTTGATGTATTTAAACCTAAAGAATTAATTAAGATAGTAATAAACTAGATATGAATAAAATCATTTTTTATAGGGTACATTCTATAGGAGGTGTTGGTCCCAAAACCTAACCCCTAAATTTATTTCACTTCTTTAACCTAAGAAAAGCTCCATTAGTTTACATTGAAGTGCCTGTGGTTAATGAATAGTAAGCCTTAGTATGTAATAAGCCCAGAATGTTAAGTGGTTAAAAAGTGCTGTCTCAGTTTTAGTCTATACGCTGACTTATTTTAGCCATGAGCCTGCATTTTAGAGCAGGAAGTGAGACTGCATCCCTTTCCCTCAGGGTGAGCAGTTAGATCCCATTGTTTTGAAGTACATGTGTCCCAAAGTCTGAAAATCAATGTGTGACATTAAGAATTGACACTACCGAAACTCCTGTTCTGCATAAGATGCTCCCATTGTTTCTTTACTTTGTAAAACTGTTGCATAAAGCATGTTCTTCCATGAATACAATCATGACTGTGATGATCTAGTACAAGGTGATGCAATCACAGTTGTGCAGCTGTTCGCCGTAACACACTCCCTCACATGATCTACTGCTTAATTATGTAATTGCATGTGTGACTACATAATCAATTGCATGCAAAACAAGACTGTATGCACAATAATGTCAAATTCAATTTGAAATAAAGCATCTTCTACTCACGAACACAAATTCAAACACTACATCGATTGATTATTAGCACGAGTTTAACCCCTTAAAGTCCCAGGCTTCTTATTCAGTAACTACAGGAACTATAATGCAAACTGGTGGAGCTATTCTGGTTATAGAAGTGTGTAATATAACTTTGGACCCTGGCCATTTAAGAGGTTAAAGACTAGGAAAACCGTTTCTGTCATGTTTTTTGAAGATATGAGGAACTACAGCTATTTTTGGGTGGATTTTTGGGGCTGAGTTGTTTTGAATTTTTGTTTTTAAGCCGGTGAAAGCAGAAGGCTTATCTTATTGCAGCAGTGAAACTGTGGTAACTATCAAATCATCATGACAATGGAGAGAACAGATTTACTCAAATGACAGAAAGGACTCAACAGATGTGGAGGTCAGCAAACTAAAAGCAACAGTTAGCAAGGCTATTACCTCAGTTTGACCTCTTTTCTCTGGATGAAAGGGATTTCTCTGGCACCCCTTTTTTCCAGAAATAAAGATCAAATTTTGTTCACTGACTGAGGTAAGGTTACACCAAAGCTAATCTGGTTGTATTTATTAGCCTATAGATCAGTGGGAGAAGCCAGGATTGTTTGACACCACAAGGATTCCCAAAGGTTATATTATATATTTACACAATGCATGCTGGGTACTATAGTGAGAGGACCGTGATGAATGAAAATGACATAAAATCTTGAATTCTCTCAAACTGATGAGACTGAGAGATACACAGCTGCACGACAGAATACTGCATAACACAGTAAACTGCATATTAAACTAGTTTTAGACCTTCAAATGACAGGCTGGATTTTTATTCTCAAATCAGCAGAGGCAAATCTAAGCGACATCTAGATCATATTTTTTTGAGTTTATGGGGGTGAGGTACACGGAAAAACAGGATTATTGGTGCAGCCATTACTACTGCTACTAAAGCTCTATATATATAAAGCTATATACATCAATTTCAAGTGACTTGGAGTTACTGTTACAAAAGCAAGTAGTTTTCGATTGCTGCAGAGCGTGACAAGCATAATCGCTGCTGCAATATCAGCTATTTTTGCCTTTACCAATCTGCCCTGATCTACCCAGCATGCCTGCTGGAGCTCATAAGGAGAAGGGGTGGGGTAATTGCGAGTTTTGTATAGAAATTGAAAGTCATTATGGATGGAGCTCCTGTGGATGATCGCCACCAGCATTAAAGAAGCATGAAAGGCTCACCCTGTTAACTGGGCAGGATCCGCTCTCTGGGGGGTACATCACCACTGATTACCCCTTCACCACCACCACACGCACACAAATGCAGAGAGAGAGAGAGAGAGAGAGAGAGAGAGGGAGAGAGAGAGAGAGAGAGAGAGAGAGAGAGAGTGAGAGAGAATGAGAACAAGAAAGAAAGAAAACAAGAGAGTAACAGAAAGTGAGAGGAAAAGGAGAGAGCGAATAAAAGAGGGAGTCAGAAAGGAAAATGAGAGAGAGAGAAATAGCGAGAGCGAGAAAAAGAGAAAATATGAGAGGGAGTGAAAGATAAGAAAATGAGAGAAAAGAAAAAGAGAGAAAAAAGAGAGTATATGATAAAGGGAGTGAGAGAGACAGACAGGTAGAGAGAAAAGACAACAAGAGAGGGAAGAAAGATACAGATGAGACAGCACAAATAAGAGAGAGAGAGTGAGACGAAAAAGAGAGTAGGAAAGAAATAGACAAAGAGAGAGAAAAAAGAGAAAATGACAGAGAGAGAGAGAGTGAGTGAGAGAGAGAGAGAGAGAAAAGAGAGGGAAAAGAGAAAAAAGAGAGCATAAATTTAAGAGAGGGAGTGTGATGCGAAAAAGAGAGAGAATAAGAGAAAGAGAGAGAGGGGAGTGAGAGAGAGAGACAGATGAGAGAAGAGAGAAAGAGAGGGGGAAGAAAGATAAAGATGAGACAGCACAAATGAGAGACAGTGAGACAAGAAAAACAGAGAGAATAGGAGAGAAAGAGACAAAGAGAGAGAAGAAAGAAAGAGTGAATGATAGAGAGGAGTGAGAGAGAAGAGAAGGAAAATAGAGAGAAAAAAGCACAAATTAAAGAGAGAAGGAGTGTGATGCGATAAAGAGAGAGAATAAAAGAGAAAGAGAGAGAGAGAGAAAGAATGAAGAAAATGGCTGTTATTCAACAGCCACATTAGAGGTGTGTGAAAGTGCATTACCCCCACTGCAAAACCTGCCACAGTTCATTAGTTCACAGAAACAAAAGGATTTGTCTGTGTACAAAAGTCATTCTCTTTTTTTATCCAACACCTCTCACGATGGAGGTTCACATCACTGCTTGATAACCTTTTCCGATCCGAGCGTCACTCTTCCTGACGTCTCTGTTAAAGGTCTATTAGCAGGGTAATGTTACCCCACCCTTCTGTTGTGTAATTATGCGGGCTTATTGACAGCGGTTGTCATTTTCAGGCTAACTTAAGCATATTATGTTGACAAGCGATAACAAGAAGCGTTTCCCCCTCAGTGCACAGAGAGCCTGTCGTAATGGAAAGTAATGATTGAGCGCTCCCTCCTCCCAGACGCGTAATCACACTTGCCAATCTAATCAGTAAGTGTACGCTCATAAGCAGGTTTGTTTCGAGCCCTGGCTGGGTGCCAGGCTCACACACTGCTGCCAGTGCAGGTGTTTGTGTGTGTGTGGCTCTGTACTAGGGGGCTCACCTTGGTAGCGCAGCAGGAAAGAGCCGGGCCGAGGCTGCTGGCTGTGGAAATGAATGGAGATCTGATTGCTGTAGCTTCGGACCACCAGGCCTTTCATCAGGATGGACTCGTTGGCCAGCACAGACGGCTCACGTCCACCCAGATCTTCAAACCTGACCGAGTCTCCTTCAGCCAAACTGACATTCATCACCTAAGAGACAGAAAGAAAGCAAGAAAGAGACAAAGAGAGGGGAGTGTTAGATAACAGCAGAGGACTTCTATGCCTTTAGAGAACGTCTAATGATTTCCAGGAAGTGAAAAAAAAATACATCTGTAATTTTTAGTTCCTTTTTATTCATGTTTGTATTTAACATGAGTAAAACGCACGTACGTAACGCATGCATTACAATAATAGTCTTCTTTCATTGTTTAAATCTTTTTTCATTTTTAGGAATCTAATTTTAGTTGGAAACTATGGGATTACATTTTTGAACTGCCAAATGGAAACTTGCCCAATCAGGAATATTTCTAAGTAGATACAGCTAAACTAGCTCTCTTATTGGTTAGGCCTTCAGGACTAAAAGCCTCATGCATCACATTAACTATCAACACTGCTAATTAGAAAGCGACAGCAGAATCAACCAATTCAGATTTTTTATGCTAATATGTCTGTTACAAGCTTCAAATTAAGCATGGAATGTTAACAAGCTTCAGATGTTCGTATTTAATCTAGAGAGGCAAAAAGAGGATCACATGCATTACTGTCAGCTACTAAACATACTACTAGAATCCCAAGTTGACAGTAGGCAATCATCAGTCATCCTTGGCTGGTGCTACACTGACATCCCTGACATTATTTGTACTAAAAAAATTAATAACTACTTCATTTATTGCAAATAGTTGCTATTACTTAATCCAGAAAAGCTGTTTGTACTGTCTGTTTAAAATTTCAAGTGAACAAACTCAAAAAGACAAGAGAGTGCAGAGTGGAGACACCCAGACTTCCTAGCAGATTTATTAGCTCTCATTTTTACTTCAGATGTTTTCAAACACATAACACGTTCCATGTTATGTATAGGCTAACCCCTTACATGGCCAGGGCCCAATGTTCCATTACATACTTCTATAGTTTTAAGAATTGCTCAACCACTGAAGTCTCTGTAGTTACTGAATAATAAGCCTTAGTATGTAATAGGTTTAAGGAGTTAAATAAATTTGGGATGATTTGACATGTTTTAAGGATCCTGAACATTTAGCATCTCTGCTAGTAGTCAGTTTGGCTATAACAAAACAACTTCAACCATTGCAAACTCTTTAGCAACAGCTGAAATTCTTTTTGAAAGAGTTTTAACATCTCAGTTTGTGGTTATTACCATTATAAGAATGTTGTGAAAATGAATCAATTAGTTACTTGAACATAAATTAGTTACTTGAAGTTTCTACTGTTTATACAGTTTATACTGATACTCTGCTCTGTTAAACTTAAAAGCGCACATGTATTTAACTCCACATTTAGGCATGAGTTTTAAAACTTCATGTGATGCAACAAGATGCCTCAGATAGTCTGAGTAAACTAAACGTATCAGGGTTTACAGTCAACGCCTTGTTGCCTGCCTCATGTTTGAAGTTACAGTTTGTTGTATATCAGTGATCATTATAAAAAAGATTTAAGCAGTTCTTTTTCATTGTCAGTGAATTATAGCTCTTCAGGCTGTAATCACACAGACGAAAACAAATTCTGTGTATGTGATTACGTAAAGAACCTGTTTCCCCAATTACCTGTCTACCTGACACCTGCGCATTCCTGTTCCCCGCTGAAATCTGAAACTTTGGCGCAAGCTGAACCTCATATTACCTCCCACACATGCTTACACTAAGACAGCCCAGACAACACCTTCAGCAGTTCAGCATGCTTTTCAAAGAGCCGAGGATTGAGATAGCGGGTGAGTGACATGTTTGTGCCGGTCCTGCAGCATCCTTATCTGCTGTTGGGCCACCTCTCTGCCAAAGCAGCCCATTAATTACCCAGAAAGACAAGGCCAATGACACCTTCCTGTCTGCTGCAGCCAGTCCTGTCTGCCTCTGCATCCTCCGCACAACACACACGCGTGAGCCAGGGTCCGACTCCACAGGGCTGGTCGTGACACCAGGATATGCAGCACAAAAACTGCACTAAGTGGGCATCCATGAGGATAATTACAGGGACAGCAAATGAACACAGCCACATCCATTCAACTGGAGAGCGAATGGGGAATTGCCTGAGCACGCATGAGTCCTAGACGCGGCCAATCTGAGCCGGACTGGGCCAGGCTGAGGCCCCTCGTGGCCCCTGTTCCCCGGAGGTAATGAAAATCAGATTCAGCTAAATGAAAATGACCCACAAAGCGACCTGACTGCACACGGACAGTGGGACAGGTTAATGAAGCCTGACACATACACACAAACACAGCACTCTCAGGCTGGATATGTGTAATTAATATAGATAGGAGGGCAACTCTAGTGCTTGCTACAAAGACTGCATTTAGATTTACATGCAGAGGCGTCTCCTCTGCTGCTTTCATTTCTGTTTCTGTGTTTTTTCACTCCATTCTAATTCATCAATTTTTATTTCATTTTCCATTTTAACAGTTATAATTTACACTTTTATAAAACAGTAATTTTTTGCTCATTTAAAGGGAAAGTATCATTAAAAACTGAATTTTCCTTCCTTTTTATTTAAATAAAAGAGTCTGATGTGGTATGTAAACAGTTCATACAGACCATTTATGGCAAACGAAGCTGCAAAAAGAACGTGTCCTGAATTCACAGGATTTTCTTCAACACATTAAATTCAGCAAAAACAGTAATAGTGCGTCAAAATGTGCAGAAGCGTGTTCTCCGTAGAGGATGTGTTGGATGTGTTGACCTATTTTTTCACGTAGAAAAATCAACAAAACATGAGCAGGGTGCCAAAACTTTTGCACACACTCATTTAGGATACAGCACTTAAGCTCCACCCATTCACACCGCAGTTATAACCTGCACTGCTTTTTGAATGAGGCAAAATACAAGGCAGTCAATCAGAACAGCAATCATTTACATATATTGGTCCTAAAAGTGTACAAAAACAGTGCAGCAAACACAGCCTGTTTAATTCTGCAGGACAAAAAGAGATTTGAAAAGGGTCATGTAAAAATTAATGACTGCTTTCAGTACATAAAAGTCACATAAATGTAATAAGTGGACCTCATGAAAAAAATAAAATACAAGTAAAATGTAGGATATGAGCCCTTTAAATTAACTTGATATAGCTTACCCCTTACAAAATGCAAATAAATACTGTCATTTTGCTATGACGATATTATGTTTAACTTTAATAACATAAATTACATTGTTAGTTATGTCTAATTACATTTACTTTTGATTTACATTCTGTATGGACAGGTTTGAGTTTGCATTTCCAACTCATTTGCATATTGATTTCATGCAATGACAAAAACACAAAAAATTCAAACAAAATACACAAACAATAATAACCTCTCAGCAAATTGAAATAATATTAAAAGCTTTCATTTTCTATTTTCTATATGAAAACAATGTTATATTGACTGAAAGTTTAGTATCTGCACTTTCAACAAAATTCCCACTTATTTCAATGAACAGTAAGTGAGAATTCATACTGAATCACACTGTACTTTTGTTACTGTCAGCAGCAATGCTGTTTTTTCCATTAATGTTTTTACAATTAATGTAAATATCAGTTTAACCAGTCTATTTTGTTCTTATCTCACTCATCTTAATTGTGAGTCAATCTGTGAAGCACTTTGCATCGCAATGTTTGGATAAAAAACACTCTACATATTAACCCAAAGCACATTCAAGCATCCAGTTTAAATGCATAGAGCGCGCATTACATTTAAACACATTCTAACTAGAGCTTGAACAGAAGGGCTGTTGAGTGCTTTCACAGCAACAGGTGACAACCTGAGGAGGACGTGAATATATTCACACTTAATAAAGCCTGCGACACAGCGTGGCATAGCAGCCTATAAAACAAAAGTGCATTACAAAGTAATCACATTATACTAAAAGCCCTGGGATAATAAAATACTTCCAGAATATTGCCTGCCATAATCCAATTTGTGTTGGCATTAGGCCCGACTGCCTACCCCACGCGTGTAATCCCCTGCATAAACATGACTTGTCAGGCAGACACAGATGCTGGCATGGAGACACGCAGTTAGGAAGGCATTTGGGGTCAGCGCTGATGAAAACATCTCGTTCCGTAGTGCCAAGCACAACTAACAGGATTAGAATGGAGGAAATAAAATCTATTATTTGTGTTCTTACAGTCTGTCCACAGGGGATCAAAAAGCACAGAGCAAATCAGGAGAATGGAGAGTATCTGATGTACTGTGTGACTCATATGCAGTGGCTATATAGACTTTATTTTCTAATTCATTAGTAAGAAATCACCATCTCCACTTTGTCCCAGAATAGATATACAATAATATGCTGGCCTGATTACTACTTGTAATCAAAGCTGCTTTCATTTTAGAGGATGACAGCGTCAATGCTACGACCGTGTTATAAAACCCCTGAAGCACTGCTGTTCAAAGCATGTCTGAAAAGCTGACTCATGACAGTCACTTCATTGCGAACTGCAATCATCACAGATCAAACTCTGTGTTTTTTGGAAATCTGGGGCCTGGTTGACATTACTGAGCTGAGGTGTTTTTTTTTCAAGTTCCCTAGAGGCAAGACCTTTTCAGAAAGGAACACTGCACAACACATTTTTAGAAATGCCTAAAGTTATCTTTAAGGTTTGTGCGGGAGGCTGGTGATACAATACAAACCACAGAAAAGAAAAATACAGTCATCAGCTGCTGCCTGTCTGTTCTCCAACAAGACATGTTAGAGATTACAGTCGTATGCAGAGGGTTCAACACCCCCAGTCAAATTACACTGTGTTGATTTTGTAAGTGAAAATAACACATCCTACAGGGAACAAACTAAAATATGCCATTTATCTGCTAATTCTAGTGCACAATTTCTATTTCTATTAGTTTTATTATATTTATTAGAAGGCACAAATATAACAAATATGATGATAATAATAATAATAATAATAATAATAATAATAATAATAATAATAATCATCATCATCATCATCATCATCATTTATATAGCACTTTCATGCCGGTGGCAGCTCAAAGTGCTTTACAGACAAGT